GATTTTACAGTTAAAGGAAAATTTGACATTAGACGTCCAAATTGCTTGAAAATGACTTTCTTCTTCCTGCGCTGACAATATTTTCACCCTCCTGACCCACTGAGTGTTTTACATGATAAAGACTCAGCAGCTGTCTAAACCAGTGGTTCAATTTTTTTTTTACTTGTGACTAATGAAACATAAAGCCTCTTGAATTTATTTCCTCAGGACAAATCCATCCATATAATGGATTTCATTCATATCATTAACGCAGAAATATTTTTCAATGTGCTCGTGTGCAATGCTGTCCTTTGTCGACTATAGAGCTGAAGCCTAAACATGTGATGTGGACACATTATTTGTTACAGTGTCATCATCGAGTTTCTTACTGGAGAAACTTATTATGTTGCACATCTAAACAAGTAATCACATAATGTGAAAAATATGTCCAGAAAAAAGGCAAGAGTGTTTTTATTACACGTTTATTACAGAATTAATTATTTTATGGGTGTATCCATAATACTTATTGCCGGTTTTTGGATGTGATTGAGGATGTTGCACACATCAAATACTTCTAGTTATTGTTTTATAACGTCTCTGTCTGATGGTGGCAGTTTATGATAGATGTTTTCGCTCTGATTTTTAGTGGTTTCTGATATCTAGACTAGAGGGGTTAAGAAGGGAAATGTCTACGTCCAGTCACAAGGTAAAGCAATGACACCACAAACTAGAAAGAAGAGAAAGAGGGGCGAAGCTGCTTTGGGATTAACTCTGGAACTGATAAACTCTCTGTTCCCCACATATGACCAACTCACCCTGTTTCTCTCTTCTTTGTTTTAATGTCTCCTCCAGTGAGCAGAGTATCTGCCAGGCGCGGGCCTCTGTCATGGTCTACGATGACACCAGCAAGAAGTGGGTGCCCATCAAGCCTGGCCAGCAGGGATTCAGCCGCATCAACATCTACCACAACACTGCCAACAATACCTTCAGAGTGGTGGGAGTCAAACTGCAGGACCAGCAGGTAAGAAGTGCAGATGCTGGAGGTAAACTTGTTGCTGTGGGAGGATTGCAAATAGTCTGGATTGTGACTTGACTATACTGAAGGAGATTGAGAACAGCGGAGAACCAATGAAGTCGTAAAAATTTCTTCAGTCAAAGTCTGTGTGTGTGCGTGCTTCAAAACCTCGTGAAATCTTAAAGCTCACCCGCCTCCGCTGTGACTTGAGTGAAATCTTCTTCACCGTCTGTCAGCCTCTCCAACGGCAACAGCTCATTAGCACTCGGCTCTTTTGCACCGCCGTAGACGTGTTTGGCGATAAGACGCGGAACACATGTAAACAGCGGGGTTATCAAGCACAGCAGTAATCAAAAACTGACAACTACAAAGATGTCTGAAAGTGGCAGAAAACCTACAAAGATTCAGAAAATGAAAATGGAGAT